GCCGCGCTCCACTCCGTTGTACATGAAAAAGTCCATATAGTACACCGGCAACCGAGGGAAAAGACGTATTAATTCCAGAATATTCGTTCCAGAGAAAGATAAGAGAGCCATATTTTCGTTTTCCGCGTGTTCCTCTTCTCGCTTCTCTACCCCGTGAATTTTTTGCTCGCAGTTTTTTTTCAACTCGCGTTCAGCGCGAAACGTTTATTTCGAGTCCGAGCGGGGACGATTCGAGAGAAAACGACGCACAAAAGCGTGGAACGTACTCGCGTGCTTCTGTGCGCCGGGTTTGCAGCTATTACATATTCATTCGTGGACACTAACGATAGTCGTAGGAGTTCCTGGTGGAGAACCAGTTTGTAGATTTCCCATGTTTACTAACACCCGCGTTTATTGAACGACAATGCCTGTGTATCCTTCGAGTCGGCTCGAGTGAACAACGGGCATCCGCGGAATTTAATCTCGAAGAAGGGATCGAGCGTTCCGATCGACCAGAGATTCATCGGTCTTACCTGTTACATAATTCAGGCATATTACCTTTGTTCGGTGCATCATCGGTTCTCCTTTAACACAATATTAATAACTACGATCGAGTCTCAGGACTCGAGGAGTCACCTTTCAAGAAGAATCGCTTTGAGTCTTTACTGAAAGTAATTGATACCGAAAAGGATATTCGTGTTCAGTTCAAAGGCGATATTCGAACGTTCCCCTTGAATAAATATCTCGCACACGTCTCACTGCTCGTTGAAGTTAATTCTACCTTCCAGCGAGCGCGTGCCGCGAGATTGAACGTCAGTCGCAGGTCGATCAAAAGCGCTATCTAAGCTGGGCGCTCGCACACAGAGGATATTTTTAATTAATTTTCAAAAGCTTTTGTCGAAGTTCGAAACGCGAGAGGAGAAAATTGGGTAAGGAATTTTCAATTCTTGGGAAATATTCATAGAAACGTTTCCGGTGTCGTACCGCGTTTAAGCGTGATTGTCGGGGAGGAGGGGCGTCTGTTTTCGCGTTACACCGGTTCGATTTCAAGTCGATCCACGGCGCGGCGCGTCGCGCCGAGGAAACATCCAGAGGAAACTTGCTGGAGGCGGACGTGACGGAAATAAAACCGCGAACAGCATAGAAGTCGTCACGCCTTTAACGATTTCGGGTGGCCGACACCCCAGCTGCCGCGAAAGAGTTAGCAGCGGTTTTATCGATTGCGTTCACCATCGGAACTCCGCGGAAGAAACGCTGTTACGTCCCTTAGAGAAAAAAAAAAACCGATTGGAAGTTTCCTCGGGACGGCAGAAGTGGGGGTGGAGACTCCGCAAAGCCTCGAGGCTGTTCGCGTATTCCCGGTGAGGGAATCCGACCGACTCGGGCACTCGACCGGCCCAACTGCATGTTGAAAAATTCACCGAGCGTTAAAGCGGGAAAGGTCGAAGGGTAAAGAGCAAAGAGGTACCGGAAGAGGGGACCGAGCGAAGCTCTCCCGATCTCCGCAGGTGGGGGAGGCCAAACGCGCGGGCAAAGAAGATTTCACGCCGGTGGAGCACCGAAACGAAAACGAAAGCGACCGGCATTCGTCAACGAAAAAGCTTCTGATGGAAGTGTCTCGCTGAAATCGTGCCATGAATTTCAGACCGGCGAATCTAAAATTCTCACCTGCTACTTTATTATGTAGAAAGGATTATTATTAGTAGACTGCAGATTTCATGCATTCACAAATTGGAATATATAATGCGAGGTGACATAAGAAAGATCAAAGGGTGAATCCCTAGCTGGGTTACATTTTTTAAAATGAGATTCTTTTATTTAACAGTAACTCCATCTCTTTAAATCCGAAATTCGTACGATTTATGAATCCATAATTTCCTCCACGAAACCTCGTACGCGGATCCCGTAGAACGAATAATCAATTGATTTTATCACCGTCGAATTGTCTTGGCTTCGGTCGGTCGGTCATTGTGATCGTCCGATTGCTGGTACGGAAACTGTAACAACGAACGAACGCGCGGGTCCTCTTCCTCCCATTGTCAGACAGAATCGTGTTTGCGAAAATTTCGTGATTGTTCGACAACGGCGATCGATCGCGCTGATCGACGCAACAAAAGAACGGAACGACGTGTAACTACACGAGTACCAGCGCGTGTACAGATGGAATTACAATAGTTTACCAGAAAACATTGATACTAAAATTAACCCGACAAAGCCAGAGTCGCTGGATCGTCGTAGTAGATCCGATATCGAGCGACGAGTTACCTGACTGACGCAGCTCATCACCAACCCTGTTGCATGCACCGTTCGAAGTAATTAATTAATTAATTAATTAATTAAGGAAATAGGAACGATTGGACTTCAGTGAACTCGTTTAAGATTACGCGATGTATCGCTTATTAACATCTCTCGCGTCTCTGGGGAAGTTTCAGTGGGTAAACGAAAAACGCGCAAACAGCCTGGCGCGGCGCGACGCGACGCAGCGGGCGAATCATCAAGTCGTTCTCCAGTCCGAGCACGAAATTATACGAGTGCACTTTCGTTTATGTTACGTAATTAGCATGAGCCGTGGGGATGAGGGCGACGCCCGAGCCTTTGCATATTTATAATTTAAACATCCCCGCGGCGGACCACGCGAGCTAATATTTCGCGGAAAAATTCCGACGCACCGAAATCAGCCAATTCCTGCGATTTAAACCACCGTCGATTCCGCGTCTGTGCCGTTCGTCGAATTTATGCAAAACCGAACGCGAATCCCAAAAATGTTTGTGAACCGTCGGTAAATGGAATGAAAAGAGAAATCGGTGACAGGAGGCGACGTGCGTCGCTCGAGACGATATACTGAACGGATGTTCGGTTGTCTAGTGTTCTTGATCAGTAAGTGCGAGACTCGATCGCGGACGTGCATCATAGATCGATGGGCGATGAATGTAGCGGGAGGAGGGAACGTTCTACGTAAGCATTCAGCCAGGGTATGATGAATCGGCCTAATTTCGCGACCGAAAGGTCACGTAAGCTCGGTAAATCTTGGACAGTGGCATCGGTGGCGGACGCGTTTCAGAGGAGCGAAACATTTAGCGGCGATGCACGCAAATCCCGCAACGCCCGGTGCCATAGCTGGGGTCGACCAAACCGCCGCTGGGATAGTCGTGGGGCCGTAGGAAGCGATTCCTAAATCATATCAGCGCGCACGAAACACACGCCACGCATTCCTGAAACTGTTTGCTGTCGCCTACCTCCCGACCCACGGGTTTCGGATAAAGGTGCGTTCTCCACCGGCGTTTCGTTTAATCAGATTTCCCTGGAAATTACCCGTTCCTATATTGCGCTCGAATTTCTGTCGCACGCTAAATTTATGATCGAGCAAAATTTATTTTTGAACGCAACAAGAAGGTGATACTCTATATTTAACCAAACGAAGTATGAATTCGAAGATCGTTATAAATTTTATTGGAGAGACGGTATTTTAAACGTTATCGTATACATATTACATTACAATTCTAATTGGGCTTTGTACGTTGTCGTACACGGGGCTTAAGGTGGCTCCTTCGTACACGTGAACACATACGTTCTCTAGTTTCCGTCCCTCCGGCAAAATGTTTCTACCCTGCACGGTGCACCGTGGTCCACCACGCCCGAGGGAGGCCGAGTCGATCCACTGGCCATAATCACCCTCGGCATCTCGTCGATGAGATTAATGTCGCTGGCCCGCCTCCGAACGCGTCGCTCGTACGAAATTTCCGTTTCTCTCGCTACCGTTTACTCGCGATATCGAGTCTCGTTATCGCCGAATATCGATCATCAAAATACAAACTAACCGCGAGCCCTGGTGTCATTGAACAACGCGAGAAGGAAAAAAAAAATTGGAAAAAAAATACGGTAATGAAATATCGCTCCGATCGTTGCCGGGAAAAGCTCTTCTCGCGTGCTAAAAAGATAGGCCAGGTCGGGAAAGCTAGGAAAGTCTTCCCGTCCCCCCTGGGAAATGTCCTGTAATCCAAGGAGCTAAATAAGCCCGAAGGCAACGGTGAGAATATCACGTTCGAAACGATACTCGCACGTCGGGGGAATCGAACCGTTCGTCCCTAATTAACATCGGCCCTTTACTTACCCGCGCATCGACTGAATACCGAATATCCGAGGCCCCGGCGTATGATCGATAGAACCCTTGTCGATGACGGTCGGATCAGCGTCTCCCTATCCGACGCTCTTTTATAATAATCGAATAACTCGGCTAATTGGCAATTCGCCGGAAGACTTCGCAACTTTTTAATCAATATTTATTGAAATAACGGGAAATTTGTTAGAGGATTAATGAAAGACTTGGCACACACGTGCCGCGATCGTAAATTGAAAACTGTTACCCGAGTGAACAGCCTTTATCGCTTGTGCATATCGTCCGGTAAATGTATTGGAGGAGAGAGCACAATTTTATTAAACTCTTTCGAGAGTCGGAACTACTGCTTGGGCAGGGATCGTACAAACAACCGATATCTGCCCCTCTCCCTCCCCTCCGCATCCCCCCCGGTTTCATCCTGGTTAATTGCCAACCTGGAATTTCTGCAGCTAACCGCTCGTGTTTCCACCGTGCTCGATGAAAAACATTCTAAACCCGCGATCCCATCGAAATGGGAGCGGGGGAATTTTTTCGAGTCACCGAAACGCGTTTGTGATCTTTGTAGCACGGCTTGGCAGCGATTAGCGAAATTACGCTCCTTCCGGCAAATGATCGGTGCTCGCATTGTTTGAAAATTCATCTCTCATATTCGCCGCGAGACACGGCGAAACGTTGTTAAGAGTTCTTGGACTTGTTAACGAGTTTGAACGATTCTACGCGTGGTCGTGCCCGCTGTTCTCCAAACTAACGTGCACTCGGTTCGTGTTTATCGACTTCGTTTCTCGGACGGATTAAACTCTGACATTGGACGAAATTCGCGTGTACGGGAATTCGTGCGACCTTCTTTCGAAATTATTTTCGCAAAGTGGAGGCATGCGAAGTTGTTCGAAAAATAAAATCTCACCTGTTTCTGGATGGTCGAACGAGAAATTCGGTCGGTGCGGTTTGAAAGGTAGCAGAGGGTTCACCGCATCTTTTCTAACGTGTTCGACGTAGGTTCACGTGCCGCCACTGCCGTCGTCGACGCCACTATCACTGATTATTATCACTGCCACCAGCACCAGCACCACTGAAACCCACTACTACCACCACTGTGATAATTTATATAGAAATCTCAACGCACCCGCACGAGTTCATTCGAAAGTTTCTGTTTTCCACGCTGCACCTCGTGCGTGTTTCCTGAAGAGATCGCGCGTTACGAAATTGTCACGAGTCATCACGAACGGAATTCAAATTCATCTCGAACGGGTCGCGCGTTCTCTGATCTCTGTTTCCACCCCTGTACCGTGGCGAGCACGTTGCCGAGAAACGACTCGAGCGCGTTCTACCCCTAGCGTAACCGGGGTTCGACTGAAGCGAGACGAACGAAGCTACGTTCGCGATACCCGAGCGCATGCTCTGAGTTTCCTCGGTTCACCCGCGACTGTGTCGGTGTGCCACTGGTGTGCGTGCCACCTATAAAGGGTGGTCAAGAAAATTCTCGCGGAATCAAAATCCCATCGAAGAAGTCGTTCGCCAGATCGAACGCCCTCCCCCCTCGCGCCCCTTAACTCGATTTCGAACAAGGAAACCATGAAAACCTTTGTAAACGTTCCCTTTTATATTTCCCGTCGCGGAGCGACCGAGCTGCATTTTTACGCGTCGCCTAGTTACGCCGCTGTATTTATTTTCCCGACGGAAGAAACGACGAGTTCCAGGAGGAACTTTTTTCTTCGGTGGAGAAAGAAGGTCGAGGGTGCGTTTCGAATCCTGTCGCACTGAATATAAAAGGAGCGACCGTGTTACTTAACAGCGTCTTTTCAGAAGGTGTTTTTATAGCCGAGCGGCAGCCAAAGCGCATCGAGTGCTCGCGACGTGATCAGACCACCTCTTCGGGATTCGAAGAATACTCGAGAAACGCATCCCTCTCCGAGGTATCCTGGAAAATATGAACTCGCTGATTCGCGCGATATTGCCGCGTGGATGCGTCGAGTGCACTTTTAGTCGGGTTCGTCGGGCGAAAACTCGCGTGTGTATATCCGCAGCGCGATGTTTACCCGTGCGCGAATGGCGAATTAAAGGGAAGAAAGTTGCGACGGCGACGCGACGTCCTCCTGCGAGAATCAGGCCAAATTGCGTTACTTAATTACGTCCGTTACGGGACACCGTGCATCCGATTTTACGAATTTTCACCGAGCAACTTTTAACGATCCCTCCCTTCCCTCGGCTAGTAGCTCGTTAACTTTTATGACCGCCGCGTCGTGCAACTCGAACCGTGTGTAGGGAAAAAAGAACGGTTTCTAATTTTCGCGCGTTTACACGCGTTTTTATCGTTTCTTCGAAAAGCCGTGCGCGAGGTTTATCTCGTTTTCCATCGGAGAAGGCCACGCGACATCGATACTCTCTAATGAGATCTACGAGCGCGGCTCGGAGTTCCGCGCGGCAAAAAATATTCGAGATTTCGCGAGATGATCTCGTAATCGGCTCTCGTTAATGGATACCGCGTACAAAAGGCGGACCGGTTTCACAAAGAGAGGTTCGCACCAATACTTTTCTCTCCCGGTCATTATTCTGCCGTAACCCGCCGCGCCCGCGACACGTTCGCATTTCCGTGTTGCCTGCTCCTTTTTTCTCTCGCAGTTCTTTTCTATATTAGCGTACCGGTGGCTTACACCGGTCGTTTACTCGCTATTACGAATAATGGAATCGATTCGTCTGGACGATTTGCGCTTTGCACAGCTCCTATTCTTCATTCGCCAATTTTCATCCCGACCAGGAACAGAGTCAATAATGCACACACACAGAGAACCTTGAACTTGATAAGGGAAATCTCTCGTCGCAATACGGCAAAGGTAGAACTGTCGACGCGATCATAAAGTCGGGGGCGTTACAGTTCCTCGCCCGAGGGGGGAAAAGAGAAAATTTAATCGGGCGAAAGGTCGGTAAAAATTTCAGCAGCCGTTGATTCGGAGCGGGCGGGAGGCGGCAAGGAGGCAGCGAACGACGAATGTTCGTGTCGTTTGAACGAGGCCACCGCCGCGGCAACGGTGGTTGCTCTGGAAAAAAAGCTATTCGTACCTTCGACGAAACAATACGAGTTTTACACGGTGCCGTAGACGCAACGCGAACGCGTAGCCACTAGATGCTATCGCTCGGCTGCTACTTGAATAATTAACGCCCGCTGCGACGTTTATAATTAATATAGCCCATTATCGCGACCAACCTCGAATTTCCCTCGCATCGAATCGTCAGATGGTCGACCTAATTAACCAAGCGCCATTTACAATTGGAATTCGCGCGCGCGGAAACGAATCCAGCACCCGCTAATTTTGTTCGCGCCAATTACAAATAGGCGATCGTGTTCACGATTATTTCGCGTCGGTCCGCGAGCCCTCCGCTACGACCGTCGAACCTACGGGGAATAATCGATGCGAACCGGAAATCGTATTTAGACCCTCTTTTGGACGTTCAACCGCGGCGGTGGTAGAATTTTATCACCAGATACCTGGGTCCTATCGCCTCTCGGCTAATCGGCTATGCGGATATTCGCCATCTTGAAATTCCGGAAGCCTCGCGCGGAAGTTTCCACGAGTTTCACCAATAAGTTTGTGTATCGCGGTATTGCAGCTGACCGAGCTTGCCTAGTTTCCGTCCGACGATCTTCCATTCCCGCGCGCTCTCCGCGTTCCTCCCGCCCCGCGTTAGTCTGGAACTTCCGCTCTTTAGAGGGCCTGGACGGGACACCGTAACGGTCGAGAGCAGGAAGGGACGCGTTTGAAAGGGTGAAAGGGAGGAAGGAAACGACAGCGCGCACACGTAGAGGAGAACGATTGTCCGAAAAAAGTGAATGCGGAATTACGGTTGGGGGAAAAAGGTCGGGAAGCATCGACCCGAGAGGGAGAGAATGTCTCGCCCCTTCTCTCGTGGAACTCCCTGAAGGACCCTCGAAACACACTGGTTGAGAAACACAACGGAGCTAAAAATTTCGTCTTTTGTTTTAAACGATTCACCGACCTCCGCGTGGTCTCTCCGTGCAAAAAGCGGATTAATACCGCCGGTAGAGTTTTTAGAGGCGTGCGCGCACACCGAGGGACGCGCCGTCGTTCCCCGTGGACGGGACGCAATCTCGAAGCATGGTTTACAAGGAACGTAATTCAGTTCCTCGGTCGAGTTTTCTTGTTCGTGAAGCGACGCGAGTACGTCTCCGTCCCTCCCTCGCAATTATGATCGAGCGAATCGTGAAGCGAATAATCAAATTTTTATTTTTCTCGCGCGAGTGCCGCGTCAACTACCGAGAGAGACGGGGTTGTTCCCGCTCCCCCTCCCCTTCTCGCGGAACCGTTCGGGGAAACGGAAAAGAGAACGCTGTTACAGCGTTCTCTCGACGGGTGGGAAAGAGTGGCGCGCGAGGGCGGGTGGAACGAGGAAAGAGGAAACTCGTTTAACGACCGTGCCAGCGAGCTGATACACGAACGACACGGAATACATCTGCAACGAGATGCAAATTGCGGACTTACGAAGTATTGTTACGGACGTGCGACAGCATGCGCTGCAAATAATAAATCGAGCGGCCGCGTCTAGTGGTATAGGTGCGCGACAATTCAGCCGGCGGACCGATGCGATGTTTCTTCGGATTCGCGTTTACCCCGTGGTTAAACAGAAACGAGAGGGAGAGGTACAGGTCGTGCCACGGTTCTCAAGGCGGTGTATAAACGAGAACGCGGAACGAACTGTCCCGATACGTTCTGCTCCTCCGATAAAATTATTCTGTTAAGTTTTATTCTCGAGGTCTGTTCGGAACGTTGCTTGCTCTCCCATTTAAGCAAGATTCAAGTGCAAATGAGCATGTTCTCTGACTCGTTGACGAGCGTTTGCTCGATCGTCGACCTTTCGACTTCCGACTTTGCACAGTCGAATTTTATCGAAAAAGGAGCGTGCTCGCTCGCTCGCTCGCTCGGTTTAAACGCGCCTTAAGAAGCCGAAGTAAATGCACGTCTCCTCGTCGTTCAGGAATTGTGTCGAGGAAAGCGAATCTCGACGTTGGCTACTTCCGAGCGGTTTAGCGCGTTTCGGAAACTACTGTGGCGCAGACGAGACGTGGCAGGCAGGAGGCAGGCAAAGCCTCCTCTCTCTCGCGGAGAACGACCCCCATCCCCCGTGCTCTCTCGCACCCCTCGGCTCCAGCTGGTCCCTATGGCAACGCACTTAAGCTCGCTTTAGTATTTCAGTCCGTAGGAGAGAGGGTTCCCTCTCTCAGCTGACTCTTCTCTCTCTTGGCCAACCCCTTGACGACGGCCAACTATTGTCCGAGCCGCGTCGCACTGGGCCAACTCTGCTCCTTCCGCTTTAAACGCTCTCCCCCACCTCGCCGATTCCAATTTTAACTCTCTCACTTGTTTTTCTTCCGAACTCTCTTGCGCGCACGGGACGGTTCCGTTCGAAATTTCAATACCAATAGGATCTTCAGTCACTGCCTCGACTTCGTCTTTGCATTTTTAAATTCGCTCATAGAACACCGTATCCGTTCACTTCTTAAATTTTAAACGAGATACGATGATACCGTATCACGAAACATGTCGTAGACCGGGCTTCCTTCAATTCATCGCATCACAACGCGTACATTTCTCAGCGAGTGCCGACACATGCGGAGAACTCCGTTTCGCTAGTTCCACGGAGCCCGTTGCTCTTTCGTTTCGTCCCAGGGTGAACCGCGCTGCTCGTTTCTGTGTCCAAGAACTAAATGCGCTCGTCTCTGGATACGCTTTTACGCCCGTCTACGTCCGTCCAGGACATACCTTCGTAATGCTCTTAACAGCTTTGAAATTAGTTTCCACCGTTTTCTTTCGTCCCCTCAAATTTCTCTCCCGGCGTAATTCCGCGCCGCGTCTGACGCGTGTTCTCAACGTCTTCTTCTCCTTCTACTACGACCATCCACCCCGTCCCCGCCCCCGCGATCTTCTTTTCATCCGCAGTTCCCGCGATGCGCCAAGAATTTAAGTAAAACACCGTTTTAAACCGGTCGGCTAACGAGTCTCGGGGAAAACTAGTGCTCGCTCGTGCATAATCGCATCCTAGTTACTCAGAAGGTTTAACCAAGGGAGATGATCAAATTAAAACTGAGATTCGATCACGCCGGATTAGACTTGTTTAAAAGTTTTCCGTAGGCTCTTCATCCTCGGCCAGTGTTAGACGAGTAGAAACTCTGAACGGCGTGTTATTTTCGAACGGTGCTCGTTTATCGTAGATCCGATAAAGCACGCGACGCGAGAGATAAATCATTGACGCGATAAGAAGTACTCGCGAGGTAAGCAAATTCTCAAACGTTTCCGGTGAAATACACCCCCGTTCATAAGTCTTAGAACATGCTATAAAATGTCCTGGGAGTACGTATATAAAATTGTGTCTGTCCCCTCGTTTGAAGTACAATTTTATTACGACTCTTCATAACTTATGTGATTTTCCAACGGGGACAGTTTCCCACGGTCACTCGTTTCAAGTATTTTTTTATAAATAACGAGTGCTCGGAAACGTCCTGAAACTTAATGAACGCACCCTTCTGTCCGGCGATTTTACTTTTTCTCTTCCCGGTCGCATTTACGCGCAGGGAAAATCAATACGCGATAACAAGGTGGCGAAATGCCGCCGATAAGGATGATATTTATTGCCTGGGCGTTAATATACATCTCCCGCTGCTAGTCGGGAGGAGCAAAAAGACTGTATATAGAGTCCAGTGCTTAATGAGCACCGTGGAGTTTATTACCCCGCGCTTAACAGGGATTAAGTTTAATACAGCTTTAAAAAGAGCTCGGCTCTAAAGCGAAGAAACACAGACCGGATGTAAAAGCATCCTCGATAACGGCAGACCGACCATAACTCCTGATTGTTCGAATCGTCGAACGCATTCACACATGGAATACGATATCATCCCCGTCGTACTCGGTTTATATTCATAACACACTGGTCTAACGTACCGTACTTAGTCTTGGAAGTTGAATCACAAAGGAGATACGCATTCATCAAATCTCATAGCACACAGCGTTCGATACTGGACAGGGGCGACAGCCACCTTGGAAGGAAATGCACCTATAATAAATATGCCCAGGACCAGCAGACATAAATCCCGCGTAATTGAATTTTCAACGTCCATAACTGGTCGTCGTCGGCTGGTGCGACCTCGCAGGAAATAGGATGGGACGTATCTTAAACCGAGTGGGATTCTATCCTTGAAAGCGGCCCTTACTTCGATTAAACGCGCCACCCTTATTCGTACGTTCCCCGCTTCGACATGTTCGCGGAGCGGAACAATTTTTAATTCACTCCCCCGGACCGATTCTATCGCTTTTTCCTCGCCGGTTGGCTCGTCCGTCTCCGTTAGGCGACTCGTTTTCTTTCTTTCGATCCTCGGAAAACGAAGAGAGTTCCTTTGACGGGAACATCTAATCAAGGATTTCTTGGAGGCCAGGAACCCTCGCCCTGCCAAACTGCGCTGCTCCTCGCTACCCTCTTCTCATTCTTCTTGACTTCTCTCTTTGTCCGTCCTCTACGGCTCTCGTTTCTCCCCAGCGGGCTTACCCACAGCGGGACGAACCATGGAAAACTTTGATTGTGCGAAAGTCGCGCGCGGCGGCGCCGCCGACAAAGAGAGTGGAGAGCGAATTCGATGGAATCTCACTCGATTGGAAATTCCATCGTTCGATGACTCGCGTGTACATTTTAGCGGATGAGTCGTCTTAAGATACGCTCTTCCATTTCTTGAATAAAAGAGAGACGATTCTTATTAAATAGTTTCATCGAATTCGATTTCCGTCCAAGATATTAATCCGTCGATTTAATTAATCCATTTATGGAAAAATTCTTTCTTCGAATCAGCATCACAAGTGTTTTATTCCGCATACATAGAACAGCAGTATTTTAATTAATAATTTATATGAAAAATTCGAAGACGTCGTTTAAAGAATTTTATTAGAACGACAAAAGGGTTACGAAGCGCTGAGCGTACGCGATTAATCGTCGATGTCGAGGAACGTTTCCCATCCGCGACGCTTAATGTCTTGTATCCGCAAAGTCCGCGAATTTTCGTCGGTTAACGCGACGAGAAACCGTGGGGGAGCAATGACGTCAGAGATTACGATAAGCCCTCCCAGCGGCGAGAAACAAATGACGTACTAACTGCATATTAACCAAACTGCCGGAGTAACCGTTGACTCCGCCTACTGTCCGTGGAGAGTCGCGAGTAGTACGAGTACGTACAGCGTGTCCGCCGCGAGTTAATAAAGGCTAACCGAGCACGATTCGGTATGAAGCTCCTAGGCGAATCGTATTAAACGATATTCGTACCCTTACACTATTCAATTAAGATTCCGATCCACGGGAACAGATAATAACTGCTCGGTTGACGGAAAACATCCCGATTACTCGAATTATCTCCAACTTTTATCACGAACGAGTTCCATTACCTCTGAGAGTAAAGCTTAGAACACAAATGGATTGGAAGTTTTTGAGCGAGCCGCAACAACCTGGAAAGTATTAGTGGGATCTGTCACGGGCGAAATCGCGAGTTTTTTTTAAGGTGGCTCCCGTTGTTCTGTCTCCTTTCTTCTACCCTGGTTCTTTTTCCGCGTATATTTCACGCGACCGAATCTCTTCCCGTGTATATCCGCGCGTATTCATGGAGCGATGTTTCCCGAGGAAGCTTTCCGACCGTGAGTTTACATGTTATTCATTACCTCCGTTTTCGCCGGGCCTCGGAATTAAAACGACGCGAGTAAAATCGAGAGCTGGATGACTTGCATCTTGTATTAACGATTCGTTTCCGTTTAGTTAAGTAAAAGGAAATGAACACGATACTCTGTGGATTCATATTTTCGTGTGCAAAGAAGTAATGCAAATCTGTACGCAAGGGCAGTCTCCCTTCTTTTTTTAAAAGAATCTCGCGTAAAGTATCGTCTTTCTGCGAATCTTAAGGACGAGGATTCCTGAGAAGTTAAGGGGATCAGAATAACGAGAGTGTAAGGAGATCCTCTCAATTTTCCGTAACAAGCGCAACGAGAAACTATGCTTTTTTCCCCTCGTTGCTCCCGTCACGCGCCGCTCGAGGAAATGAAAACTCACATGTTGCTTAGACAAGCGTACGTTAAAAATGGAACGAAAATGCTGCAACAACGAATTAACATTTGGCTCGCGATGTTTTTAATTCTGCAAAGATGTTTGCGTTTCCGTTAGCGTATTAGAAAGTAACTTCGCTCAGGTCTGCGCAGTGTACGACGCACAAATCTAATAAGACAGTTTGCTCTGTAATCACCTTTAATAATACTTTAACAAGCGTAAAATCAGTTAGTAGTACATCGTATTTTACGATCGGGCGTACACAATTACGTAAAATGATTACGCGAATCGATAGTATAAATGAGGAATCGAGATCGCACTAGTAATAGTAGCGGTGTCGGTGGTGGTGGTGGTGGTGGTCTTTTCAGGGCGACTCGATTCACGATCAAAAATCGTGGTTCGCGGTTCGTTTTAACGTCGATTTATGCGTCGTCCGATTTAATCTTCTCCGTTTGGGCGGACGCGGTATCGTGAACTATTTCCGGCTCGCGGATACCCATCCATTTGCATCGCTTTTGCAATTCTTGTCGGTATCTACGCAGAGAAAAGGGCGAGGTATACAACACGGGATAATCATTTCGTTTGTATTCAACGTCGATGATATCGCGGTGCTTGGGCTCGTTACCTCGGATGATTGATCGCGTAAATCCACGGGTCGATGCAAGATACCGATTTGGCGAACACAGCAGGCAGCATCGTCGACACTGGCGTTAAAAGTTCCCTACAAGGCAAAACTGTGAGAACTTGTTTTTAACGATCGGCGAATCGAGAGTCGCAGTTGCTCAAATTAATCCACTTATCAAAACATCGCTTAATTAAGAAGCTAAGTCAAACGACCGACACTGATGCGATCCTCAGCCTGTTAATTACCGATTGCCAAATGCGCCTATCATAGCGACGGTTGCGTACGGTGTCCAGGCCATCAGAAACAGGAAGAATATCGTGAACGCCACTTTAGCGATTCTCAACTCGACGCTCCTCTCTTTGTCTTGATTCGACACCAACGACTTCACGTTCATCTTCTTTGCCTATTAGTGAGAACACTTTGTTAGAGACCGTTTCGACCCTAGATTCATCTCTCTGTCCAACCTGTTCCCGTAACATCTTCTCGTGGTTGCGAATAGACTTGAGTAGCTGGGAATAAAAGTATACGATGAAAATCATGGGTATACAGTAGGACCATATGAAGATGCACACGACGAAGACCTTCGTGTCTTGGTCGTCCGTGAGGTAGTCGAATGTACAGGTCGTGAGAAAGCCCTCTGGAAAATTTCAAGCGAACACTGTGAACCAGAGTCTCAGGTTGCCTTTAATTTTTGTATTCATTTTTCTAGTATTATTCGAGGGGCGATTAAATTTGAGATCGAGTATCAGAGAAATGGTCTCAGAGTAATTGACAAGAAAATTATTTGAAGATAAGAGCGTTCGTTACCAGTAGAGTATCGTCCCCAAACTCTCACCAGCGGCAAAACGCTGAATGGCATCACCCAGAACCATGTGAAAAGGATGATAACCACGGCTTGCTTCGAGTTAAGCCGTCCGTCGATCGGACAGGAAATGGTTCTGCGAAAATTGTAGGATTCAATGATATCTCCGTATACTGATAACTAGACCGCAGATCTTTATGAAGTATGAAACAATCGGAAAGAAGTATTTTAAATAGAAATTTCTCTTGTCACTTTCTTTGTTTTTCACATTCGGTCACATGCATTCCTTGTATCCTCTGTAGATACGATTCCTCTATGAATCTACGATCTACTAATGACTACAATTATAATTATCGTAACCTGTATCTGTCGAAAGCGATGGCAGCGTTCGTGATCGCTTGTCCCATGCCAGAAATCGACCCAAGAATCGCGTAAACGTCACATCCGATTTCCCAGCCTATCATACGTTCCATGAAGCTATTTATCAGTAACATTGGCATCTCTATCGCCATTACTATGTCGAATATAGCTAGGCTGATTATGAACATGTTCGACGCCGTTCTCAGCGATTTTGATCTGAAACGTTACGATCATTTCGATACTGTCGATCGGTATCAGTCAGCTTGAGATCTACTGAAACGCGAGGGTATTTCGAAGCGACCCTCCGGTACGAGGGGTGGTTTTCACGGCACGTCAAGGGAGGGCGCTACCACCCCGAACGACGTCGGGGCTGAAACACTTACGTGCTAAATATCCACACGACGCAACAGTTCCCTACGAGAGACATGACTAACAGTATGAAGTAAATGAGCGCGACTCCAATGTGCCAATATTTTCCAGGTGCTATGAAGCCTCTCCAGTGGGGATGCACGAGTTCCGAGTATTCCGGCGGCACGTTCCATCCCAAAAATCTTTCTCGCATCGATGGAACGAACCTGAACGGGTGAGTGAAACAAGCAGCGTTTCAAAATTCCATTTCGTTTCTCATAAATGTTCGACGTCCAGTTTTCATTGGCTAAGCAGAGCCAATCGAGTAAACTGTCGCTCGGACGGGACGACCATCGCCTTCTACTCGCCCTACGTAAATAGGGGCAAGAGAAAAGTGGCCAGTTCTCTCGCCTACGTTTTCATTGCTCCTGTTTGCGCAAGCCGAGCAGATGGTCAGTCGCTCATGGACCGATGCGATGTACATGGTACGTTGGTTAGACCGATGAGCCTCGGCCGTGAAACTAGACAGTGACTCGATCGGCTCGAAGGTATTCGCTCTGTCGAAAGACGTTCCTTTACGCGTACACACCCGGTTTCCTCGCCGATGTAAGCCAACGGACCGTTGACGACCGTCTCGTTGCGTAATAACATCCCGGCACGACTCGAAGAATTCCTTTACGCTCGGTACACGGGAGCCGCTTTAGAAGTGGACGACGAGCCGGTTCACGATTCGCTCGCGATCGGTTCGTTTCGTATTTAACTCGCGACTGCGAGAAAAGGAAGAAAATGCACACGTTTTTGAAGTGAGACGCGGCGGAGAGGTCGTGAATACGTTCCGCAACTCACTTGATTCGGACCGTCACGATCCTTTCCTTTTATATGGCGACGCGAGAAGGGAATTCGCGGATCCGGGGCGAATGGCGTGCCGCTTGAGAGCTTAATTCGATTTGCGATTTACGAATACGAGAAACCTTTTGTTCGGCTGAGTCTAGGCGGTCACGCGAACCGATCTCACCGCCTTTCTGCCACCCTTTGTCACGCACGATGCCCTTTAGCGACCACTCTTAATCTCCGACCAAGGCTACGCTCGAAGGAAAATCAGATGACTTTCCGTAAACAAATTCGTAAGTCGCGTATTACGAACCAGACGATTTTCGTTACCTCCTCGTTCTCGCTTTCGACGAGAATTCGTTGTAAAGAATCGGCTCGGAAAATTTCGGTCGGTATTCGAGGATAATTACGGGGCTGGTCCCAGAATCGATTGGACGCGGCGCTGTCAATCTAGTAATCGAGGACTACGTTTTGTTATCGGTTTAACCGAATAACGCTCTCGAGCACGATCGAAAATTCAGAGAAATTGCGACGAGAGCGCGCGCTGTCGGTCGGCCGTCCTGAAATTTCACGCTGGTCGAGCTGCGTCGGAACGCGGCGGGCTCGCGCCTCTTTCACGTTTCTCCCGCGTTGGTCGGCCGCAAACCATTTTTACACGCCGTTCGGCGCCGCGCGAAATTCATCTAGGCAAAGTGTTGTATCGCGGAGCGAACTCTCTCGGGTTTCGAAGCTAGCAACACGACCACAGCCTTCGCGCATTCACCGGGATTAAATCATAAAATTGTCCCCGGAACGGAGCCCGGAATTCCACTGATTTACGAGGATGGTTCGCTGGTCCGTTCGCCCGCGCACCAGACTCGGTCGTTCCGTCGTTGCGTTTTCCAGTCGCTGCCCGGGTTTTAGTCGGCTCGCTGGCACGTTGCATCCCGGCGCGATCGTCCGATATAAGCGCGTACGCGTCAGAAGATACATAGAGGCCCGGTCCCGAGCCGCAAAACGCATTTCTCTAAAGAAAGAACCGCGCGACACGCGCGAGAGGAAAGCGCAGAGCAGAGGGAGAGAGGTCCATTCTACGCGGAGCGACAACAGGGACGTAGTTTTTCACGATTCAACAGATATATTTACGAGCTCTGTTCGTCCGTGTAATTCCCACGACTTATAAAACGTCCCCGGCATTGTCCGCGATGGAAATCCAGTGGGAAAATTGAATGACAAACAATGGGCCCAACCGAGGCCGATTATGGTAACAATGTGAGCGGAGCGACCGGTGACGCCGGTCTATTTCGTTCTGCCTCTCCTCGCTTCTCTTCTCGGTTGATGCGCGGTTTCCATTATCCATCATTGATTTCGTATTCCTTTTCCACTTTTTATTTGTTTAACGTTCCATTTCCTTCGCCTCTTTTCGGCCGGCTTACGCATAAATTTCTACCGAAGGATTCCGACTGAAAATATTTTCATCACTGCCTCTCCGGTTTATAGCGGTAACGCGCGTTGAACCAAGATTTTAAAAACTGCTAATTCGCACGTTCGCTCGACTTCAGAATTTTAGTAGATTCTTCTGGAGTTAAAAATCCTATGAAGAGAGATCGACGGCGAAGTTCTGTCCTCTGTTGGCTGATTCCGCGTGTCCGTCATCCCTCGTCGAGCTCCCCCTGCCCCTCACTTCGTCCTTCTCTCTCCGCGTATCCGCCTGTCGAAACTCACCCATCGTACCTTCGCATCATTGGACTTTTGATATCCCGTGCATATCCCGGAGAGTTTGGTCTCGCCGTTCGGCTAGAGGCGTCCATACACAGACGGGATCCATCGACAATGCCTTGCGAAAGGGACAAACATTTCAGGAGCGCGACGCTTCTCTTTGTCCCGCTATCTCCCTGTGTATCGGAAGCAAGCCCCCTTCCCACGGATCCACGTTCGATCTCGCGGACGCCGTCAGACTTCACGTTCCGTCGCGTGGCTCGATACGTGAAAAAGGATCGATCGCAGTCGAGGTTTTTGGCCGAATGTCCGGACCACTTCCACTTCTTTTTTCATCGACAGTGGGCTCGCTATTATTTTCGTGGTACGCGTCAACATTTTCCGCGCGACGAAGAGAACGCCAGTTTCATGCGGGCCAGCGTCGGTATTTTCTCGGAGTTAGTCGCCGTACTCTCTCCCGTTCTCGCGGACCGAAGGATCGACAGTCGCGAATGAAATTGCCGTGGAAACTCGACGTGGAGATAGGTAGGAATCCCGACGTCGTTCCGGCTTCTCTCTATCCATCGGCTCTCTCTTTCTCTCGCTCTCTCCTCTCGTGTACGCGTTTAGTTTTCCCCGTCTCGCTACTCGCCTTCGCCGCAAACTCGAAATATTCCCTCCTCGTAAACTGTCGCGATAGTCGGGCCCGCGAAGCGGCCCGAACGAAGAACAAAGGAATGCAGATTGGAGAGACGCGGATTAACAAGGATTAACGCTAATTGGACGGCCGCCGCTACGGGTTGTCGTCTACGTTGTCGTCATCCTCGTCGACGAAGTCGCTAATGGTAGCTCGGCTCTTTGCGTTTCTCCCCTGTTTCCCCATGCGCGCCGTTCTCGTTTCACCGAAAGGGAGGGAGAAAGTTCCATGCTCTCGAAGCGTGCAGATTGACACTTTTTTCCCGATTCAAGAGCCATCGCGATTATTCAAATCGCGTCCCACGAGCCGAGTCGACCTCAGAGACGAGGCATCCTCGAACCTACCGACACGAGAATTCACCTCTCTCGTTATCGCGAAATCAATTCGGGCGTCTACGTTAATCGCGCACCGTCCCAACAGAGTAACGGTGTGTCTCGCGAATCCGCGACTCAATCGGTGAGGATCGACCCTCGGGAAGAATTTACGATCACCAGCAAACGACTCCTCGCGGCAGACGTCAAGGGATTATTAACGAGACTCCTTATTCAACGGCTACGTGGAAACAATTAGACTGAAGTCAACTTATTCGAGTCACTGGGTTATTTAGACATCCGAGCTTCTCTTCATATTTTATTTATCTAATGACGTACAGGAGTCAGTGGGAAACGTCATTTGAAATTGTCATCGAAGTAAAAAGAATTCGCGAGTAACTCGGGATCATTCCTAATTCCTAAAATAGCTGAATCACGCGGGTCGCAATTGCTACCCAATTAATTAGCCAGTACGGCAAGCGGGAAAAGTCAACGATACATGCCGAGAGATCTCCATTTTACAGCACAATAAACCGTATTATGCGCGAATGCTTGTCCCGTTCTCCTGATACGTACGGATATTCCCTCGCGTTATCTCGGTCTTTGTTCCCGGATGCAACGACGTAACGAATCAACCATGTGTAGAGCGTATAGAGCATTAGCGAGCTACGCGATAACATCGTCGCAGGGAAAAAGGATCGAGACGAAAGATACGGTCTACCCTGTGAAATATAGAAATGTACTTTATGGGCGTCGCGTAAAATTATGCGGATAAGTCGTTCCACGGCGATATCAACCGATCCCCGAACACCGAAACGTCGTCATCGGACTTCTCCCCCGCGACAGAGAAAACCGCTCGTAAAATATCCAGCTACGAAACTCCACGCGTTCGAGTCGCCGGCTACGAAGTGGAGTGGCTCGGTCACTGGTCAGACGACACTCGATAAGCCGTGTCGTCACGTGCTCCCGTCACGCGCGTCTCTCCACTTTTTACACCTTTTACAGTTCATTTCTGCAGATAAATTGACCAACTTTTTCGCTGACTATGTAACCTTAATCGCCACGTGCGAAAAGTATATGGAAAACGAGATGATGAAAAAGGTGGAAGATCGGTGGTATAAAGAGAAGTCTCGCCGTAGAAATGAAAAGTCAAAAACTCGGAGATAGTCGAGAGGAGGATATATGCATGTGTACACAGGGTACGGCCTCTCATTTATTCCGACTCTCTCCGTCCTCGTCCCTCCGCGACCGGCCGACCCGTTTATACCCCGACAAAGAGGGCAGGCGCGGTCTCAGCTAGAATACCGTCGATTTCGCGAAATTCTTCGGAAAAATCTCCATAATTTCGGGAATTGCCTTTTGATGTTCGAGATGAAAGAGCCCGCGACCGGGAGTGAGTGGTCTTCCGAACCGTTTCTCCGCCTATTTCTCTACAACTTCGGCTCGCCTTTTCACTCGTCCATCCAATTCCCTTACCCCGGTCGCGAAGAGACGGGATAGGCGATCGAACCGAGTCTCCTCGACGATATTTCTCGTTTGCCGAAGCGAACATTTTTTCCTGACCACGCATTAGTCAGCGAGATGTACAGTATTAAAACGCAGGAAACAGATGCGTGCGAGCCTGAGTGTTCGTCGAAGCTTCCGCGGCAGCTTTTTGTGAAAAATAATCAGCAAAAGGGTAACTAACGTCTGTAGCTGGGAGCGTAACGAATTCGCCTTGGCCGGGGGGTACAGAGAAATAGGAATCTGGGGGAGGGAAAGAAGAAGCACCGAGCGGCATTGTCGCAGACGAAACTAGTAGCGGGCGCGTAAACTCGACAGAAGAAAATAACAAAGGGGAACAGTACAATGCGTATCGGGAGCTTTCAGAAGAGAACGCAAACGCGCACAAGGCCGGCACCGTTGCTCTCGCGTATTTGCAACTAGTCGGTACAAATAGTTTCAACGATTCTGCCACCGACACACAGCTCGCTCGAATTAGCGAACTAAGTACTCGTTCTAGACTCTTTCATCGTTGGTCTCGATCTCGTCTACCAAAGTATTCACGACGTTGGTCAATCGTGAACGTTTCACGTTATTTTTGTCAAGGGTCACGAGTCCTCTGAACCTCCTTTATTCTGCAGGAATTTTCTCGC